CTGGTGTTGAGGCTCAGTGGTAAAATGCTTGCCTAGCATGTGTGAGGCACTGGGTTCCATCCTCAGCACCACATATAAATAAATGAAGGTCCATTGACAACTAAAAGAAAAAAAAATTTAATAAAAAATTTGAAATTTATTTATTTTGGGACAGTGTCAGGCTGTGTTGCCTAGTCTTCTCTTAAACTCCTAGGCTCAAGCAATCCTGCCTCAGCTTCCTGAGTAGCTGGGACTACAGATATACACCACCGGCCTGACTCTATTTATTTATTTATGTTTTTATTTTATTTTATTTTATTTTTGATGCTCGGGATAGAACTCAGGTCCTTGCACATGCTAGGCAAGTGCTTTACCACTGAGATATATACGTAGTCCTATTTTAAAAATGTTTTGACCAGTGGCTTAGGAGGCTGAGGCAGGAGGATCACGAGTTCAAAGCTAGCCTCAGCAAAAGTGAGGTGCTAAGCAACTCAGCAAGACCCTGTCTCTAAATAAAAAAAATACAAATAGGGCTGGGGATGTGGCTTAGTCGTCAAATGCCTCTGAATTCAATCCCCAGTGCCAAAAAAATAAAAAATAAAAGTTTTGACACCCAAGCCATTTCAAAACAAGCTTCCTCTTGGCCTGCTACTTTAGAGTGTGTAAAAAGTACATATTCTTGAAAAGATTTTGCCTTTGTTGGTTATGTTCTTAATGATAATTCATCTTACCCTCACCACCACTCTGGGGAGTATTCCTCTTGTTTTAGGGTTCACAGGTTACTTGTAGAATATTTAGAAAAGTATCAAATGGAAAATAAAACTCAGCCTTAATACCGTTCTCAGTTTTGATATTTGGGATGTCCTCTTAACTTTCCCCTGCAAACGTCTCTCACATTCATCACTTTTCATTCCGAGGCATTTTCATAGTACCGTATCACAGGATTTTTCTCAGTCACTGGTTTTCACAAGCCAAATTTTGAAATGGCTGTGTAATGTCACCAGGCATTCACTCAGGTCTGAGGTTTTGCTCTTGTGAGTTAAAATCAGTGAACATTGTTGCACAAGGACCTCCGTGGGCCTCTCTAATCAGTTCTTTGGGGAAAATTTCCAAGAAAAGGAATTGCTGGGATACATGTTTTTAAGACATGTGCTGCCTGTTGCCAAATTGCCTTCCAGAAAAGCCGTGACTGTTCACCCTCCTTCTACGGTTGGCACCTCCTTATGTCTCCTGCATCTTGAGGACATTTTTTTTTTGAAAAAAATTTTGATAGCCAAAACATTATGCTTTGATTTTCATTAGCAGAATCTAACATTTCCTGGTGTTCTTAGAAGCCTTTCTGCTTTATATTTTGTCCATTGTCTGGGTGTTTAACCCGTTTCTAGTTGGAAAGAAAATATATTTCTATTGAGAAGAAAATATATTTGAGAAAGAAAACCTAAAAAAATAAATTAATACTCATTAAATGTTTAGGGTGTTAATGTTCTATGGATATATTTTGCAAATTTAAGTATTTAAAACTTGGTTTTATGGCATTTTTTTGATGGCTAGAAGTTTTAAATAAAAGTTAAAATTAATAATAAAGTAGTTTCGGTTAAAGTATCATAAAATCTACCAGTCACTTTTTTAGGTTATTTTTTTCCCCCTTAGTTTTTAATCCATAGAATTTCCATCTCCAAAATCAGATAAGTAATCTATTTTCCTCCAATTATTTTAAGGTTTTATTTCTTGTGTTCTATCCTTAAAATACATAGGTACAAAAATAGTCTACTAGAATTTTTTTACCTCTTTTTTTTTTTAAACAGAGTATGTAGCAACCGATGTGCAGTGTGTGAAACACAGACACTCATTTTAGTCATTGTCTCCCCATTCAGTCCTGGCTCAAAGCTCTCTTGGGCATCACCATGGAGTGTCCCGATGGGAGAATAGTGGCTCAGAAGTTGAAGCTGAGATGATGAAATGGGGCTATGATGTGACTGCTTTTATGATCTTGCTAAATCTGCAGATGAAGTGTTAACATGCTTCATTAAAGGGTTGCTTTCATTGTTCTCGAGGAAATGGCTGAAGTTAATGCAGGGAGACTCTTGCATTGTTCAGGAGCGCAAGGCTGGAAACCTGGCTCACATCTTGCCCCGCTAACACCATCCCAAGGAAATTTAATCAGGGAACGGGGTTCAGTTTGCAAATGACAGAGACCACTCTTGAGTATTTCAGGAACTATTTATTTATTTATTTATGTTTTTTATTTTATTTTATTTTTGATGCTCGGGATGGAATTCAGGGATTGAATACAGGGAAACAGTGCTCACTGTGTTGCTAGAGCAGCTGCAAGCTGGGGCTCTGGAAAGATTCCCAGCACGGTGCCCTAGAACTAGTCTGCCCGGGAGTCTCAGTTAGGAACATGGAAATCTGGGAGTCATTCCCCCAACCACTGGCTCCAGAATCACACTTCCTTAGCCACTGCTAGAACTGTTGGCTCCAAGACCACCCAAACCCTGCCCGGTCTGTACCACTTACCCCTCTTGACATTCTTCCTAACTCAAGGCAGTCCAGAAATTAGAAGTAGGCTAAACCCTGAGAGTTGTTCTGGGGTGTGCATCTGACCAGCAGACCCTAAATCTTACCTGAAACCTTCACTGTAAGGAGGTCTGGTAGTGTTATTTTCAGACCTGCAGCTCTCGATAGATACAGGAACACACACCTGAAGGAAGGTGGACTCTCAGGTGAGGCGTGAATGCCTGTTGTTGATATGTTCAGTATGTATTTGAAAGGTAGAATCTGCTAAAATTGCTGGTTGATTTAATGGGGAAAAAGAAAGGTTAGCTGAGTAATGTTGGAGATTAAAAAAAAAAATAAGCTCTGGTCTTGAACTTTTTAAAGCATTATTCTCATCAGATTTTTTTTTAAGTGTTAAAAATTCACATAGCCTCGGCTTCCTGAACGACCAATTGTCACATCTTATCTATGGCAATGTGAACAAATTTGAGACCCAGGTGATCTCAAAGTTTCCTCATACTTCTGAAATTCTTTAGAATTCTTTAAGAGATAGCACTCTGTTGGCACATATTTTACTTTCCTGGTACATGTTTGTCATTACCAGAAGTAGAAGTTAAACAAGGGAGGCAGCTCAGTGGAGTCCTTCAGCCTGGCCCTACCCAGCCCAATGGAATGTGCCTCTAGGGTGGGCCTCCAGGATTACCAGGGTGTTGTTTTCAGGCGGGTCCCCAGGCCTGAGTAACCCTTATCTTGGTAAACCTGCTGGGACCTCCCATTCCTTCTGCTTGTTGATTCAGATAATGCTTCCCATTCCTGCATCTAATTGAGGATGGTTTAAGGCACCACCCAGGTGGCTGGTGGCTGCCTTGTACTAGACTCCCAGGCCCCCTCCAAGGGGGGTGGGTACCCATAGGCTGAGATTGGTGATGCCACTCAGTACTTCTACCCAATCTTCCTTTCCTTATGAGCCAGTCCTCTGGTGGCATTTTACTTTTCTACTCCAGCATTGTTAATTTATAGGGGTCGTGTTGAGGTGATCACCGAACAACTTATTAGGTAGCAACTAAATTGGGTTATGGCTGCCCAAGGCCCAGAGTAGTAATGGTTCAGGTGGCTCAACGGGCAACAGCATTGGCCATTTTCTCCATTCCCCTGAATGCTTTTATTGAAATCTCTCGCCTCCCAACCATTTAGTATAAGCAGAATGTACTTCTTTGCAACGTTTAACCTCAAATGAACTCATCAATGGGAAGTGTTGGTGGAGACAGGGAAGTGTTTAAAAGCAGAGGGAATGATAGAGGCGGCAGCTGGTGCATTCCTCACCGGCAGCAGCTTGGGGTCAGGGCTTGCTCCTCTCCTGCCAAGAATGTGCCAGGCTGAGGTTCACACAAGGCAGGATGCGACTGAGAGATGAACCGTTACAGGTGTGTAAGCATCTCTCCTCACAGAACGTGTAAACTAAGCTAGGGAACAGAATGCATACGCGCTGTTCATGGTAATGCTGTAACTCCCATTTTAAGGCAAATCCTTCCTTCCTGAAGTTAGAAGTAGGTTGCATGCCAAAAAAAGTCTTTATTATTAAAAATGCATTTTCTCCTAGAAACAGCATATCCATGAATGTTGCTTTTCCAGGCTTGTCTCCAAAAGCCCACTTTAGACATCTTGGAGCTTTATACTCCTGCTCTTGCAGTCTAGAGGAAAAGCCAACTATCATGTGTGTGTTTTATGCAGTGTAAGACACTCCCTGCTCTTGGGAGTTGATTGTTTAGAACCAAGCCTGGGATGGCAAAGTTCATGGGTTGTCTTATCATAGCAGGGAAAAGGCAGAACAGAACCCCTGGAGGTTCTCAAGGTCAGGACAAGGTCAGCCTGGGTGTCTTGGGATCACCAGATGGCTTTTAGACCACAATGCTGTGCCTACCTCCAGAGGTTGTCCTTCAGTGGATCTAAGACGAAGCCCAAGAATCTGCATTTCTTGCTAGTTGCCAGGTGATGCATGTGCTTTTGGTTTTTATGGTTCTGGAGCACATCTAGAGAACCACAGGAGTCCTCCTAGAAGGAAGTCGGCCCTCTAAAGAAAGCACTGCTGTATCTGAATTCTGAATGGGATTCTGCACCACCAGCCTCGCTGTCCTCCCCATACACGTGAACAAACGTTGACAACAACTGTCCCAACTGTGTGTTGCCAGCCAGACCCTCCTGCAGTCTGGCCCTGCATTCCCACATTCCTTTATTCCCTTTCTTCCCCCAATATATATAGTCCCCCCCCCCCCCCCAATGCATGAATAACTCCTTTCAGACTTTGATAACCCATTCCAGATAAAAACACTACATTTTGTTTTATGGTTAAATTGCACTTTTCATTGAATTTTCAAAAACATTAATGAGACTTTTAATGATTCACGCGACATGGCTCTGACATCAGTGCCATGGTCCTTGCAGGGTTATTGTATTGCCCTTATGATTGAGTACAACTAGGTCTGTATATGTGTCTCTCTGATTATTTTTTATTTGCCCCTCTCTAGTGGGATCTTGTGTGTGATAATGCCTGGAAGGTCCATATCGCTAAGTTCTCCTTACTGGTTGGATTAATCTTTGGCTACCTAATAACTGGATGCATTGCTGACTGGTGAGTACCAACATGCCTTCCGCACGAACCTTTGGGAGCCACAGCACGCCTTTGCTGGCTAAAGAGAAATGGTCATTGTTAGCATACTGTTACTGTGTCTTTTTTCTGTCCTGGTGTTGATGCCAGAGCCAGAGCCAAAGCTGCCCCCTGGGGAATGCTAAACTAAAAGGATTGGTCAGTGCACATAATGAACCGTTTGGAAGTGAGAATTTAAATTCATGCAATTTCTCTAACTGCTGGAATCTAGCAAAACCAGCCTGCAGCCTCATCTACTACTGACATTCGATGTTCAGTAAGGAGGAACTTGAGGCCTCAGGTGTAGGACTCTATGGGCTGCACTGAGGGGTAGATGCACACAATGCTTTAAAAAATAGAGGGGATCTGGGCACTGTGGTGTGCATCTGTAGTCCCAGCTACTTAGGAAGCTAGGCAGAGGACCACTTGAGCCCAGGATTCTCTGAGTAAACATGGTGAAACCCTGTCTTAGAAAAATAGAACCGAATAAACAAATAGGGGAGGAACTAGAGACCTTCATCCACATGGACTGAACGGGTAAGGCAGCTCTGGTTAGCACCTCAAAATATCATACATACTTTAGAGACAGTTCTTTACTTGGCCAGGATGCCCCGTGGGCTTCATGCGGAAGGAAGGCCTTAGAAGATGGTAGCATTTGGATGATGGGTGGGCGCTGCAGACAGGGGAGAAATCGTGAAGAGAGGCCGGGGTGAAAGCACTTTATCTGGGTGGGTGAGGAGGTGAAGTTGCCTTGAGCAGAGTGTGTGTTTCAGGATGAGGTGGTGAAGTTGTCTGGTAGAGATCAGGAGGGGAAGATGGTAGCTGAGTTATTAATGATGATAATGACAGTGATGTCATTAGCACCTCACACTGATTACTGTGTACCAGGCACAGCGCCAAACATTCCCAGACATGTAACAATCCCATCCTCCAGCATCCCTGTTGGGTAAGAGCTATTACTACCTGTTTTCATCATTGAAAAGTCGAAGCATAGAAGTTTAGGTAAATCCCCAAGTTCACTCCCCTTTAATCTGGAGAGCCAGGACTTGACACCAGGCCACCTGACCCCAGAGCCCGTGTCTCTCCACCGTGTGCCACAGCACTTTTTATTTAGGATATTCTGTGGTACAGAGAGACAATTGTGCAATGTAAGGCTCAAGGACAGGTGCTGCAGAGCGGTCTCTCCCTTTCCACTCTTTTTAAAGGAATTTTAGGGTTTTTTTTGTTGTTGTTGTTGTTGTTTTTTGATGAGTCAGCACATCTTGGGCCTGATGACATAATAAGGGCCAAGAATAATATGGAACAAACTGTGTATGTCTTTGTGATGCCCTTTCTACCCTGGTTAACTGAGAAAGCTGGCTCAGGCAAAAACAAGGAGCCCAGAGCAGACAGCAGCAGAGGATTCAGAGGCCACTTTAAAGCTGTGGAAATTTCCTTCCTAAAGCTAGTGTCTATTTGTGAGTTCCTTGTGCAAACATATAATGTGATTTCCTGTGTGCCCAGAATCTGCTAAATCATCACTTGTAAATGCTTCATATGGACACCTACCCTGTAGACAGTAATAGAAAAGTCATCAGACCTCTGGGGATGTACACTGGGGGCCCCTTTGGGGTTTTTGTTGTTGTTTGTTTTGTTTTGTTTTTGAGGATAGGCAATAGGGTTTTTGTTTTGTTTTGTTTTTAACCAAATGCATAGGTTTTCAGTATGAACTAGTCTAAAAGATCCTGATTTTCAAAAATCTGCATCGAAATAAATTAGGAATATATACCAGTAGAATCCATGTCACCTTCTTTCTGAAAAAATGCAGACTTGATGCAGGTTTTAGTGTCCTTATTCAATGAAAGATTTAATAGGAAAGTAAATATGGGCTTTTATTAAATGAATTAGTCTCTAAAGGTCTAAGATGCTTCAAGGCTGTTTTTGTGACATTGTATTCTTGCACATCTTGCCAAATGGCTTCCCTGGTCACACACCAGATGTAGGGACAAAAGACCAAGGTGCTTGGGTCTTCCTCTGTGAGTAGCTAGAAGTCAGATATTGTAGTCACTTCTCTACAGTCATTTTCCCAGGTCGAGGTTGGGTAGACAAGAAGGCGTGTTCTAGGGATTCAGAGGCAACTGCTTTGGGTGGTGTTTTGAACATTCTGAATGAGCCTCTCTTTCACTTTGGAAGTTTGGTGTTTTCCAACAGCACCCACACACACTTTTTTTTTTTTTTTTGGCATTTTACTCCTGCTTGAGCCTTGCTTAAAGGGAAATAAACCCTGTTAAGGGAACTCCAGACCTCACAGCTGGGGGCCCAGTTTCATGGCTGCAGGGGGAAGTGGATCAAGTCAGAGGCAAGCTTTCTAAGATGCAGTCAACATATAGGAACATGTACACTTCTTTCTTTAAAAAGTCATGCTTTAGACCGGGTTTTGTCTGGGGTGTGTGATAGGAATGGTTAGGTGGTGTGTTAGTACAGATGCAGGAGAGATGCAGGCCAGGGGTTGGGCCACCTCCCTGCCCTTGATTGCTCTGTTAGGGGCTGTCCTGCATGTGTAATTATAGTTCATGGGCTGCACCCTTTGCCCTTGGGCTCCTGTTGGCCAGTGGGGAATACAAGCCGCAGAAAACAGTGGAGAAGATCTTGAGGTCAGGCATTGATCTCCTCAGGGCTGGAAGGACTGCTGCCTCCTGTCAGGGGCCCTCCGTACCGTGCCTCTCTGCTACCCATGGCTGTCTGTCCCCAAGCTCCCTCCTGATAAGAGCTACAAGGTTGAATACTATCCCTCCCAGTTTCTCTCCCAGTTTGCTCGCTCTTTTATAAATAATCCCTCCCATTACTTCCATGTCTGTTTCCTATGGAGACCCCATATGGTTTCCCACGACTACTGTTACAAATTACTACATTCTTGGTGGCTTCGACAGCACAAAGCAATCATCTTACAGTTCTGTAGGTCACAAGTCCAACAAGGGTGTGCAAAGCAGTGCTCTTCCCTGGAAGCTCAGAGACGGACACGTTCCTGCTGTTTCCTGCTCTCTAGGAACCAGTCGCATTCTCTAGCTTCTGCCCATTTCTCCATCCTCAGAGCCAGAGATGGCAAGTCAAGACCTCATGCTGCCTTCTCTCAGGTTCCCTGTGGCCGGGGAAGGTGGTCTTGTAATAGGTCAAACCCACCACACCTCAAGGTCCTCCTTAACCTTAATCACATCCAGAATCCCTTTTGCCCTGAATAGTAGTTCTGAGGATTAGGATGCAGACATCTTTTTGGGGGGCGAGGGGGCAGGTACCAGGGATTGAACTCAGGGGCACTCGATAGGGTCTCACTGAGTTGCTTAGCAACTCGCTTTTGCTGAGGCTGGCTTTGAACTCACGATCCTCCTGTCTCGGCCTCCCAAGCCTCTGGGATTACACACTGTGCCCAGCAGGACATAGACATTGTTCAAGGCCATTTTTCTGTCAACCACAGATCCTAAGTGAAAAAGTCCTCTGCGTTAAAGACTGAGGAATATGATTTTATCAGTCATCTCCAAGGGATTCTGCCCTAGGGAGCTAGCTCACATTAGAACTCCAAGGCTTGTAACTGGCATATATTGAACACTTGCTATGTCTCTTGAGTGTTTCCATACCCCTCAGCAACCCTGTTAGGTAGGTATTTTACTGCCTCTTGCAAAAGGGAACGGAAGCTCAGCAGGCACGCTTGGCCTTTTCTAAGGTCAGATAGTTCAAAACTGGTATGAGCCTTGATTCACAACCAGGGCGCTCTAATTTCAAAGATGTTATATGCTCCACGGTCCCTAATGATAAGTTTTACTTACTGATTTTAGCGACCTTTAGGAGGTACTTAGAATGGTTTCTGAAGATTAAAAAAAAAAATCAGTCATCTTTTCTAAAACATGTCAGAACCAGTCAAGCCGTGTTTGGTGAGTGTCAGGGATGTAGCCTGCAGGAAGAATGAGAGCAGAAACATTGAAGTAGGTCCTTCGTGCCAGCCATTCTGTTCATGTCCATCAGCTCCCTTCACCGACCATCTCAATAACTGCAAAAGGATGCTTAGCCCCATGTTACAGATGAGATAGGTAAAGGGAAATAAAACCGGGTTTTAGATTTTTGTTTGTTTTTCTTCGTTTTAGGAAAACAAGCCATATTTTAAATTTATTTTTGTTCATGAATGGAAAATGAATAAAATCATCTGGTAAGGTCTTTCCCAGTCATGACGACCCCACTGGTCAAGGGAAGTAAGGTCTAATATCTCTAGACAAGACCACTGATGTACAACAACATTGAGCTGATAGCCTTGGCCTCATTTAACAAAACCCCAAGTGATGGATGGAGATGGTTAGAACCTTAGAAAGTTCTGAAGGACGCGCTTCCCTGTTGTTTCTGCCCCCCCATATTTTCTTAAGATTATATCTATCTCCTTAGGGCATTCCTTATTGAGTGTCTTCTTTTTATTTTTTTCAAGAGCTTTATTGAGAGATAATTTAACTACCCATGGAAAGAGTACAAATAAATTAGTTTTTGCATATTTACAGAGTTATGCTCTGAGTTTAACACAGTTCCACTTCCCTTCCAAGGATGGTGGAAACGTGCTCATAACCATCCACTTTCCATTCTCGTCCCCACCGCTGGGCAGCCACCTCTCCACCTCTGTTCCTCTGTATTTACCTTTTTCAGGCATTTTATTTGTACATAGATGCCTTGACATAAATATGCCCAGGATAGTTGTTCAGCTAAGCTACGTGGTGTTTAGGGTACTGGACCTGAACATTTGTTTGCCCCCTTCTTCATCAGTGAGCTCTCCTTCTGATCCAAGCCGGTCGTGTTACATATTAACTCATTTGGTGAAGTTAGTGCTGCGGTTTATTTCTGATTGAATTAATGAAGATGGAAGGTTATCTTGGGGACATGGAGAACTAGTGAGTTCCGCATCCCAAGGGGCACCTCCATCCTCCCTCTCATCCCCACCCCAAAGCACATCGCCCCCATATCACCAATCCTGCACTGGCCTGTCCCCGTGATCCACAAGTTTACTGTAACTGCTGCCCTTCCAGGGGACTATTGGGGGAGCTCACTGTCAGGACCACACTGGTTATTTAAGTTCAACCGTCTTGACTTAGTGTGTGGTCTCTTGAAACTTACCTTCTTGTCATGTAGCTGAAACAAATTGGCAGTTGCTCTGGCCCTGGCTCTGCAGGCTATGTGTAGGATCGGGCACCTGGCTTAGATTAACAACCTGGAGAAGATAACTAAAGCCTTTACTCCATACCCATGTTGACTTTCTGTCCAGTTCCAAAGGTCAGAGATTTCTCAAGACATTTCATGCTGGGTGTGTCAAGGTTTATGTTTGGGGAGTTATTATTGATTTTGTTCCTCCTGCTTTGAATCATCCCTGTTTATACTCAGAAATAGACTCAGCAACAGGAATTGGGTTCATGTCTCAATCCTCTTTCCCAGTAGCTATTTGATCTGTGCTCCCTTAGCCCAGGATAAGGGGGTTGGGCTAAATGTCCCCAGAAGGCCTTTCTGTCCCTAGTAGTCCACAATCTAGTAAAATGGGTCTAGACAGCATGAAGACTTTTACTCCAGTACTCATTCAACATATACTGAGCACCTGCTGGGCACTGGGTTTCAGGAGGGTTGCCATCCCGTTTAAAAGTGACTCCTTTCCCCCTCTCCCCACACAGGGTCGGCCGGCGGCCTGTGCTGCTGTTCTCCATCATCTTCATTCTGATCTTTGGATTGACTGTAGCACTGTCAGTGAATGTGACAATGTTCAGCACACTCAGGTTCTTCGAAGGATTTTGCCTGGCTGGAATAATTCTCACCTTGTATGCACTACGTAAGTAGAAACCCTCACGGCGACTGTTACAAGAATTAACAGAAGTATCATTGCCTATGAGTCTCTGGGAAAGATATCGTGCATGCAGGTTGTTTGGGTTGGCAACCCTTTAGAAGTACAAACTTTAGAGGCCTTGATGATTGTGAAAGAGGTTGGTTTTTTTTTAGATGATACTGTCCAGCATTTACTTAATCCTTACCTCCAGCTTGGGCTCAGTGCCCATCATAGGACACAGAAGGTTGCACAATGGCTTAGAGAAGCGGGGATCAGCCCATAGCTGTTATGGAGTGGCTTTTGCTTTCCTCTGGAATTTTCTGCATTGATATTTTCTGTGCACTTCTAAATCCAGTGCATACTTGGGTATCCCTGTACTCGGTTCTGAAAGAGCATACTAGATTTCTTTTACTATAGGGTTTGGACTTAGCATTTGCATTGACTCTTAGAGTTTTTGTTTTTCTTCTTCTTTTTCCCCTCTAAGGCCATATGGAGTGCAAATTTTCTATATTCTCACATGCCCAGAGGTGACCTTAAGTGGTCTGGAATTGATCTCTAAGTGTTAGTTCTAGAAGAATAAATGGCAAGATTTGGTAGCATTTGCTTTTTTAAAAAGGGAATTAAGAAAGTTTTACTTTATTATTCCGTCATGTTTGTTGGCTGTATTACCTCTGCTGTCAAACGTGATTATGTTTCACTTATTCGTTGTTGACTTTCTAGAAGACAACCACATGCCAATAAAGAGAAGGAACATTTCAAGCATGGTGGATATTTCATGCTTTTTAGTCACCGAGTGGAAGGATCTTTGGGAAAGACTGTAGGATAGTTTATGATATGTTTTGTCTTCCTCTCTCCCCTTGACAATATGGGTAGGAGTCAGGTATAGATTTGGTAGCAGTTTCCATCGTGATAAAATAAGAATATTTTAATTCTCTTAAACATTCCCAATAAATGACTTCTTTATATAACTAAATTTTTGTTCCACCAGAAATATAATCAATTCATGACCTACCTTTTTATCTACAAGGAAAAAAGGGGTGTAGAAAAAAAGTTACAGGTATATTTTTCTGAATCCATTATTGGTGTTTGTGGCATCCTCTTCCAACATTTTACTGAATTGTAATTTCTTGGGGATCATCTTTTCCAGTTTGTTTATGTTTATTTTGGAGCTCTCATTGCTTGGAGAACTCTTTCAAAATGTATGTGTGACAAGGTCAGTGGATCTAGGTGTTTGGCCATTCTGTGGGTGTTGGGCTTGAAGGCCTCCAGACAAAGTGCCTGTGATGTTCTCTGTGACCCTGATCCCTGTCGGTCTGTGCAGCAGAACAGCTCACAGCTCTTTTCCTGAGGAGTCTCCTGGCCCTGCTCTCTGACTGTCTGATGGGATCTTCTCTCTGGGCAGCCATCCTTTTCAGACTGATTGTTGAGGGAGGATGGTGGTCCAGTCCTTCTCTGTGGACTCTCACTGAAAGGTATAGTTCTGTACTTTGAAAAAATAGAATATTTATGCTTTGGGGACTTAGCAGACAGTATAACCCCAGCCTCACCACCCCCAAGCCAACAGTGTTCAGGAAAAATTGCTTTACAGCAAAGATGGCATATTGGTTTTATCTTGCATGCCAAGTGCTAAGGATGGCTTAAGGCTGCCAGAGAACAGGGAGGCTTCTGAGGAAGGGCTCAGCAGAAGAGAACCCCTGGATCCATTAGCCATGTCTGCCAGGGCCAGGGAAGGGCTGCACATGTGACTGGCCTTTGCCATCTCAAGAGACTATCCCTGAATTACACCAGACCAGGCATGATTTGTACCTGAATCTCGTGTGTTTCAGATTTACATAGAACCTCTTTACTGACTATGACATCATTGTGCCGAGGGCCCCGTGAAACCTGTTGCTATGTTTATCTTGCTGTAAAAAAATGATGCTAAAGACTTTTTATTAGATTAAATAGCGAGCTCTATAGTAGAAAGTTCTCTTCTACTTCAAAACTATACAAAGAGTGTGCTCATCCTAGGAAATTGCTTAGCTTTTATTTCCTAGGCAAAGAATCATATAACCTGGACATTGGCACATTTTTTTTTTTTTTGTAAAGGGCCAGCAAATAAATATTTCAGGTTTCATGGGCCATTTGGTCTCAGTTGCAGCTACTCAATTCTGCCACTGTAGCATAAAAGCAGCTATAAAGAATATGTAAATGAATAGGCGTGGCTGTGTTCCAATAAAACTTTGTTTTTGAAGAAGATGGTCAGCCAGATTTGTCCAGTGGGCCAGAACTTTTCAACCACTGATGTAATGAATTCATGTGTGGGCCTGATGATACCAGCTCGAAGTTCCGATCTCCCTTCCTAGTTTCATCTGGACTTCCTACTTTAATGTTTCTGTTGTTCCATTTTCCTATCTCCATCATTTGTGTTATTTTATTGCAAGTATTTGTGTAAGCAGTTTTACAGTTGTTTGCCAGTAAAATATGGTATAGAAAATAATGGTTGTGTTTTTTTAGATGTGGGACTAACATTCAAACATGATGATAAATGCCATTGTCATAAAAGTGTCCAAGTATCAACCAGTGGCCCACTGTCGGAGTTAAGAAAGCATCTGGAATAGCACAATTGAAATAAAGCAAAAGGCTGTGACTTTGAGCTCAAGGAGAGGATAGTAAACAATGAAAATTAGGGGGATTTGTTTGGGAGATGGCAGAAGACCCATACTTGGCAAGGGTAGGAAACGGGGGCTGGGGGGGGTAGCCCATCTTTTTGAATCATGGCAGTTTGGAGAACCCAGAGGCTGGAGACGGGAAGTTCAGAAAGATTTTTTTTTTTAGTTCTGTACTTTGAAAGAATAGAATATCTATTCTATGATGCTCCTAGTCAACAGGGCAGGGTGACTACAAATTTCCAATTCATATGCTTGTTGGTGTTTTTAGGCATGCTTAGGTGAAACTTGAGAATTTGTTTTGCTTTAGGGAAATTTATTAATAAGTTGGGTCACAGGGGTAAAGGAGTTCTTAACTCTAAAGAAAAGTTTAAAACTTAAAACTTTGGGGCGTTGATTATTTGGAACTTACATTTTTAATGATTCTAAGTTTTCTCCCCTTTTAACCAGGTTTTTATCTCAGTGCCTTTGCCTGACCTTTCTCATCACAGATCTGCATATCCTTCTTTTTTCAATCTTGCACATGCTTGGCCATGTAAATAGGGAAGTAACAATTCTTGCTGTTGTGATTTCTCGTGCAGCTTACGAGGAAAGTGGACGTGTCATTTTGAGAAATGCTGCTGACTTTGTAAATGTTTTCTGCTTTATTTGCAAGTCTGCCCAAGGGTTTTTTTTGTTGTTGTTGTTCCCCCCACCACCCCAGCTTTGGATTTATTTATTAAGGTACATTGTGGTTAAATATTCTACCCTTTAAACTTTTGTTTTCTTCAAGTTGCCAAAGTGAGAAGTAGTTGTGTAATTGGGACATAAAATAGAGACTGTTGGCATCTTCTCCGGAAGTCTTTACACAGAAGCAAAGTGTACATTGGCAGTAGCAACAGAGACTGGGCCATGCCAAGTGAGTTTATGCAGGGCCACAGTAAAGGTTCCTGCCTGCATATCTCTGAGACCATCGTGAGACGCTAAAATAATTAAATACACTGGGGCTACATCAGTGGCTTAATGATTTAATTTTATAATTTTATCTTTACCTCTGGACACACACACACACACACACACACACACACACACACTTGATTTAGCCAACAAGGAACACAGACCAAGAAAAATCAGTAAGTAGATCACATTTCCACTTGTTTATGAAAATAAAGTCTTGTCAAAAACTAAAGAGATGGTCACTTCTGAATTTAAGCAGTCATGGTGGACTGGGCTATGAATTCCTTTCCCATCCAGGATTCTATAATATCACAGGCAAAGGGACACAGCATTATCCAAGATGTATCTTTCTTCAGAAGAAGCATCTGGTCATGGTAGTGTGAACTTGTAGCTCCAGCTACCGAGGAGACTGAGGCAAGAAGATGAGTTGAGCCCAGGAGTTTGCGGTGAGTTTGGGCAACACAGGAAGATCCTGTCTCCCAAAAAACAACAACAACAACAAAAAACCACCACCACCAACAAAAGAAGTCAATGATATGACGGTTTGTAAGAGAGAAATATATCATTTTGTTTATTTATTTGATAGCAGGGATGGAACCCAGGCCTCAGGAATTCTAGGCAAGCACTTTACCACTGAGCTCTATCCCCAGCCCATATTATTTTCCCAATTTGAAATAATGAACAATGTCTTTTGCTAGCAGAGAGAACTTACTTAGTGTGGGCAAATAAATGAAACTTTTTTTGTCTTTTTTTTTTTGGTCTAAAAATGAAAAATTTCCTTGAAAATTTCTCTCAAAGATGTTCTCATTGTAATAACTCTCCTTCCAACTTACACAGTCTAAATAATTGGGTAAATTTTACCCATAATCAGGAAGTGACTCGAAATTTCTCAGATGACTAAGTTACTGATTACTTTGCAAATTAGAAGCCAAGTCTTGACTTGGCTGGTAAATAGACTCAGAAAAATCTTGAGTTTGCTCTGGGTCAGGTAGTGTTCTCCTTCTCACATGACATGATGGGTTTTAGACTCTCAATTGAAGTGGTTGAATAATTTCTGATGTGCTGATGTGAGGTGGCTTTTTTCTGCTTACTCACCTATATATTTTTATACTTCTGTTTTTCTGAAGTCCCCAAATTTGTGTTGTCTTATTATATGGATTTGTGTTAAACTGCCTAAAATTTGGGGACCTATTTTCATCAACAGGATGGTTAAGCATCACCGCTGTGCTGTAAGATATATTTTTTTAGTGGACTGAGCCAAAGGGCTCCATAGAGCGAATTGTCCCTGTGGGGGATGAAAAGAATGGAGACTGTGCCGTCGGGCAGGCTTGGCTCTGGCCACCATGTGGCTCACTCCTTCCTTCCTGGGAGCAAATGTTTGCATGACATTCAGGAAGGTGCTTGGGGGTCTGTCTCTCTCTC